TGGTGGTTCGCCGCGCCAAACGCGCAGGGGCTCGTGACGGAGTTCAACGCGACGACGGTGCCGATAAACAATACGGCTTTCTCGAGTGTGGCGCTCAGCTCATCTGCGAAAGCCAGCAGCGCATCCGCACACTCCGGCAGTTCGTCCGTCGTTGGGAGCAACACGCTGCCGATTCCCAGTGTGTCCGCGTCCGCGACGGCGCGCACATCGTTTGCGAAAGTCGGCAGCAGCGCAATGCCGATTGCCAGCCCCGCCGTGCAGCCGCACATTACCAGCACGAGCGTCGCTGTGGGAACGCCGGCGCCAAGCGCTGGCGGCGCGCATGCTAACTCGATCCTACCTTCAAGTTCAGCCGCTACTCTCGTATCGAACGCGAACAATGGCACTCTGCCGAGTGGGAACCACACGGTCTTGGCTGCTAATTCTACCCTGGCTGGGAACGCTACCTCGTCTGCGAGTAACAGCACACACGCTACCGCACTCAGGCACTGATCATGACCGCATTAATGACTGACCGACGTCCCTGCGAGAATGCTTGCAGGGTTTATGCGTCAACTGTAACAAATGTAAGACAAGGTTCACGACGATAGAGGTAAATGTATATGTACCTGTGCACGACTAGGGTTATTTCGTTGTATCATTATCTGGGCCGTATAATTTGACGTGAACTTCACGCTTTACGATTGAGAAGTGTTTCCAAAAAGACACGGTCCAACAAAGTTGGGAAGTCTGCAAGAAATCCTAAAAGAGTGGGTAACTCACGCATGGACGGATAGATCGGCTATTTGCACGAGGAGTACTTAACAGTTAACATGCACGTGGAATGGCGCGAAAAGTAACATGATTTGACTAGTGAGTCTGCACCGTCGACAGCAGCGCCTCCTGAATTATTCCGCGGTACGACTCATAGTCCACCGGCTTCCCGTTCGTCGGCGGGGGCAAACTCTCTGCGAGCGCCAGCAGCATCTGGTACACCGGAGTGCTCCCCACCCGCAGTGGTATCGACCGTACAGTCGCTTCATGGGCGTCCTCGGTAGTCATCAAATGAATTTGCATCCGCCCGCCGCTAAAGACCGTCCTCCTGATATCGTCGCCATATAAGGTCTCGATTTCCTGGCGTTTATCCGGTTCGGTGGCCAGCGATACTTTGCATTGGCCGCCGTGGGTGTAGTCGAATTGGAAGTAAGGGAGCTTTGAGCGATTGGTGTGCATGAAACGGAGCGCAGAGAACGCTATATCCTCTTGTTGGCGGATGTAGTCGTGGTGCAGCAAGGCGCGGAGGAAGGCGCGATCCCTTGAACTGTATACCCCCGCATTATCTGAGGACAAGGGATTTGGCGAGAGGTCGACACTACGATGAAAAGCTTACCGATATATCGCTCTCTAAGATCATGGCAGATGGATCTATGGCCGTTCCGCCAGTCTGCCTTTTGACAACTGCGTGAGCAGTAGAAACGGGTCAAGCACTGAGCGCAACGCTTCGTCTGATGGTTTTCACAAATATGTTGGCACTGCGGTCGTTGAGTAGCTGAAGGGTACGTCATACAAGGCGATGCTCACCGCGAGATTATCACAGGCCCTTAAGGCGGTCAGAGAGCCAGACTTGAATTCGTCCGCGACCTTCATACGCATGTGCACCAAGTCGATTAACTGATTCCAGTCTGCTACGAGTGTTTTAAAGCAGGAGGCGGGCTCGAGGTCTTGTATCTCCACCAGAGCCGCATGCAATTGAATGAGCATTGAATAGTAAACGGTGGATCCAGGGAGGTATTTGGAAAGGAAGGTGGATAGCTCGTCGATAGTACCAGTGTCGCACTTGCGGACGCTTGAGAACAGAGCACGAAGGAAACCCGCGCGCAGAGCCTCCGCAATCCATCGATGGGATCGGGAAATCCGAAAGCTAATTAACACGCATACGATGGCGAATTGGGGAAAGCCATCATAAAGCACAGCCAGATTTGGTGGTAGGGGATTGGCTTTGCTTAGCGCTAGCAAGATGATAGTCAGAACCTTGACAAGACCCTTCTCCAAAAGTGTTGTGCGCAGGCTAAAGTTGGTTGTGAACGCATAGCTCAAGATGCTCTTGACTCCACCCACTCGATATAGAGTTACGCTCGTGATCGGGGTGTCAGTATTCGGGAATGCTTGCTTGAGATGAGAGACAACAGCCGAGGCGATATCAGTCCAGCTGCCACCGGTGCCCGCGACGAGCTCGGGGAAATTTACAACGTGTTCTGGGTCGACCAGCATGAGGAGGAGCAATGAGATGTCGCAGAGGCCTTGGTCGTGCTTCGCGCTGAGGAGACGGATCCACGCTCTGCCAATTACGCCATGAATACCGGGCGTCGCGATAAACAAACGCAGGACCTCGGAGTGGTAATGCTGCAACATAGAACACAACAAAGCCGTGGCAATGGCATATATCTCAGTGCGATTCTGCTTGCAAATGGGTAGCTGCTCGCAGAAAGCGTCTAGAAACTCGGTCCATCCCCAGACGCGCGGCCAAAGATCCGTAACTGCAACTTGGTGGATCAAGCCATCCAAGAAGAGATGCGTGAGTCCCTGGAAAGACAGCAAGGTCTGGTCGACTCGCAGGTCAACTGCAAACTGGACGTCCTCGGCATCCCAAGATTCTAGCTGATCTGGTAGGGTAATCGTATCGGCGGTGTCAAGGACAGAGTAAAAGATGGGAAGAAGGAGACGACTGGAGCGTTCGCTCAAGTCTTCCCATTTTAGAAGTATACGATGGAGATGCTCGACAGAGCCACCTGCTGCGGCTCCTGCGAGCGTCTGTAAAGGCGGTGAGGCTGCTCGACAAGCAGAGTGGGAAGGGTGAGCCGAATGCTTACTCTGAGGGGTCCTGTTAACTTTAACAGATTTGAAGGATATAGAGATTGATGCATCGCGGAAGCGAAAGAAAAGAAGTTTAGAACACGTGCCATAAGTTAGAGCACGTGAAAATAAGGCGCTCGTTCAAGTCCAGTCCAAATGTCGTTGGCATACAGCTGCGGGTACCAAGACCAAGTATATCGTGCGGTAGTACAATGTACAACTGGAGTGACGCGTGCCCGGGTCATGGTGTTATTCGCAAGTGCAAAAATCCAACAGGATTCGGTCGCTCCCTCGTAGCCGGACTGTGAGCTGCTGGCAACGACGGAATCTGTCACGAGGATGCCGAACTTGAGATACGTCAGCTCGTCCTCGTCGTCGGCCGCGGCCATGGTTGCCGGTGCAGGTGGGGTGAACATCACGTACGACCAGGACCGAGATGCGCAAATACAGGAGGAATTTGAACGGGGTCGGCGAATGGCGGAATGAGCTCTATTACTGACGCAACAACGGGCTTCTATGCCGTTGGCGGGTGAGGGAAAAGTGCAATTGAAACAAGGTTGACTTGAAGCTGCTCCCCGCGTACGTGCGCGCGTGTCTCGTGTTAGGCGGCGCTCGACAGTACGCCTTCCTCCAGCAGCCCAGCCGCCAATTTGGCCGATGCAATGTCTAGATCGGAGACAGAAAGCGACTGGCGAACGGTCAGCATCGGGATTCAGGTTCGCGATATGTGCGGCACACCTGTATCTAGTCCCAGCGCTCGTCCGAACCCTTTTACAGTAAGATCTTTCGTACCCTTTTCCTCACGTCTACTTTTACAACTTTGGTTGCGCCTCTGACGAGCCGGACGATGAGCGTAGAGAGAAGGACTACACACCGCCGTCGCACAGGGAGGGCCATTGCAGAAGGTGCTGGATGCCAGTGCGTTGGAGGCGAAATGAAAAAACAACGAAGCGAGAATGGGGATGACTGGCAGGATCCGTGTTAAAGTGGCAGAGGACGTGAACGACTCGGAAGTGGAAGCCATCGCAGACAGTGAGGAATGGGCATGTCGTGGATGGGCAGCTGCTCGCAGGAGGCGTCCTGAAACTCGGTCCATTCACAGATGTGCAGCAAAAGATCCGTCGGCCGCGCAGACAAAGTACGTGAATGCCAAAAATTTGAAAGAAAACACAGTCCCCTTGACTCGCAGCAACCTGCGACGTCAACGTCCGACTCTAGCGGACGAGGGAGGGTATTAGCAATAGGATCGCGATGCACCGCTCGCGCGCGTGACCCCAATGGCTCTCAGACACTATGTAGGTGGACCCTGTATTTACGACTGTACATATGGCTGTATACCGGGTAGTGTACCTCAGTCCTGTCCGTATCCCCCCGTCCCTCGCTTGCGCTCGATAAGTACTCCGTCCTACGACTCCCCGAGCCTGATTTCAATAGAGAGTAGCCGTGTCGGTGTCGGAAATAGAGTGGATACAGGGCTAAAGAGGTCTACAGCGCTCGTCCAAGACTTCCCATTCTGTGAGTATAAGCTCGATCGAAGTGCTCGAAAGAGCCAGCTTTTGGGACCTCGTGGTTGCGGTGCACAAGCACGCGGGATGGACTCAGAGGTGAATCAAGGGCTCACTTTGAGGGGACCCAATGACTTTAATGGGTTCGTAAGATCCAGATACATATATCAATACGCAATCACAATCTATATGCCAGTTGGATCCCTACTCTGTGTTTGTTTTGATTTCCTCATTTACATACTTTGCGACAAGTAAATAAAAAAGAGTTTTATGATGGCCCCTTCGCTAGTGTTACTAGCTCTCATCTTGACAAAGGGGCAACATGAAGCTTTTTCAACCGTCGACAGACAGAATATGTCGTAATCACTATGGCACGTGCCAGGACGCACATGTACAAATATGCATCAGCAATGCGGCGTGGGGATGGTTAGACTCCGGAAAGCCTCACACTGCCGCAAAGCTGCGCGCGGGAAAAGAGGTTGAAACATTTCAACCTCTTTTCTCTTTTCCCCTCTCCTGGGGAAGCCTTCCCAACCTTTACGTGGACGACGTAGTTGATCCCATAGTTTGATGTACCCATTCCGGCTACATACCACTAAATTGACAACCTTAAAAATAAATAAATAAAAAGACAAGAAAAACAAGAAAAACCGAAATAAAAGATGCATTGACCGGGAGTCGAACCCGGAGCTAGGCCAAGTTCTATTACATAAGCTGATTACGTAATTGGGAAGACCCAATGTTACCGCTACACCATCAATGCGATGAAAAGCTAGTTCCTTAATAGGATATAATCGATACAAAAGCTTAGCAGCAGTAAAAAATTAAATTCTGTGAAAATAAAATACTGTGTTTGTAAAATAAAATACTGTGTGTGTAAAATAAAATACTGTGTGTGTACGTGCATTCAAGGCCACATTGCCAGAAATATAATGCCGGGGTGGTGAAGGGTCAGAGGTCTCAGAGTGAGCCTATGAGCTGTGCAGTGCAGGTGCAAGAGCACGGAGGTGGCACAGAAGATGCGCAGAGGACAATGATGTCAAAAAGGATACATTGGACTGCCAGTGTGAAGCTACAAACCATGTATATAAGGTATGTGATAAGTATCAGGAATGATCAAGATATATGATATTTCAATAAAGATGTGGACAGTCGTACTCAGACTGAAGTTGAAGTTCGGAACAAACATATTCTGACATGCATCTCATGGTTTGAATGCACAGAGGTTGCAATGCCTCTCTGGAGGAAGCCAGGGGGGGGGGGGAGGACTTGACTCGGAGCACCCACTATGGAGAACAACCCTACCTGCCTGACTGGCGCTGTGCTGGACTAGAAAGGTCGCTGACCTTCTCGGTGTCAATAAGCTCGATGTGCTCAACATGCAGCTTGTATGCTTTCACCTCTTCAGTGAGGCGACGAAGGGTCATGTTACCAAGGCCGGTGTGCAACATGTAGGCATATCCTAGGGTCTTCTTAACAAGCTGCAGAAAGACTTGCGAGTCTTTCTCCAAGTCAATGTTGACACATTCCAGGATGTCATAATGCATGGGACCTGGGCAGGAGCTGGGATCGGCTGTGTTGGAGATAAAGCGAGGAGGGCGAGATTAGCGATAGAGAAGTAGAATGATTGCAATAGCACTGTTGGTTAGAAGGCTGCTTTAGAGCAATCAGATGCTCTAGCAGGTGAATTACACTGAGCTTATATACTGTACAGAAAAGTATCTAGAATGTTCTACGTGTATCTGAACTGTTCCATGGGTTACTAATAATGTTCCCTGAGATGCCCGAAGGCCGAAGCTGCTTATCTAATCTTAATTACAACAGGCTGATTTCCACCTGGCCGGGTTCCAGCTGGTGACAATCTGGTAGGCCACAATGCACATTGGAGCTTGCTGAAGGTTCCACCCGGAACTAACGAATGGGAAGCAAAGGTCGCCAGTGAATATTATATTGTCAATACCTCAGTATCTGCTTGTTGTAGTCCGGCTGCAGAATTCATTTGAAGATGGTGCAGCTGTTGCTTGGCAACCTGATACGCGAAAAAAGCCAAGTCATTCAAGCTCCGACGTTCACGTGCTGTTGACAAGGCATTTGTCACGTCGTCTCACTCTTCTTGCCACTTAACCTTTTCTTCAATCCCTTTATTGTTGCATCTGTGGCCACATTTTCCCCCCTCCACTCTTCTGGTCCGTCAAGATATTCTTCAAGACTCCAAGCTGTTCTAGTGACATAACCTCCCTCAAGGCACTCGTTCTTTTTCACGGGGCTTCAAGTTTTTGTCGTATCTGCAAGTCTTCACAAGTCTCATCAAGTTTTGCTACCTGCGCTTCTGGGTCCGGGCCCGCCCGCGGCTGTGTCTGGGCTGCTTAATGGGTGGCACGCCGGACCGTCGCCGGTGTGCAGTGCTGTCGGACCCGCGCTGCAGGAGGTGACGAGCGACGTCCTCGACACATTCCTAGCGCGCCACCAACCATACTGTGCATCAAGTATCCGCCGCGGCCCCCAGCCAGCGCGCCCCTGCTGTCCATCGGCCCCTTCCCCCTCGCCGCCCTCCCGTACCTGACACACCTCACAATCCCGCCCGCGCACTTTATCCGCCTGCACAATGTGCTGGGCCCCCGATCTCGAAATCACATGAAGGCCAGCAAATGGCGATGTGCGCAAGCTCAACCGGTGAGTGTCCACGTTGCTGCTTGGTTTTTGACTAAAACCACAGGTTCAAAGCCTTCCGACGTGTGCTCGACAACGACCCCGATGGGCATCCGAACTCCATGGATTACACGCTCCCTGCCGGGTCTGTGTGTGTCAGCGAGGTACAAGTCGTCATCGATCCCGCCATCAGCAGCATCGCCCTGGACAAGGTATCCTCGCTTCTGGGAGTATGAAGAGGTACATAGATGCAAATATTGTATCTCTGATTTCGCTCCTATGTATTCATTCATCTGTGTAAGAAGAGCTAACGTGATAGACTGTATGGCAGGGTCTCTGGGCTTGCTATTGGCAGACTTCAAATCACTGCGTTCAACCCCTTGGTAGACACATGTCAGCTAGAAATAGGTAAGCATAGGCATGCTAGATACATGTGTGTTTACCTTGAGTCTACCTTTGTCTACCTTTGTTTAGCTTTGTTGACGTCGGTCTAGCTATGTCTTGGCTATGTCGACCCCGGTCGGCAGATGGAAGACACATCCTGGGCTCAGGTAACTGATACCAAATCGGTTGATGCAGTCGCCGTAGGTGACGCAGCTTGACAAAGGTAGACACAGCTCGACAGAGCTCAACGAAGGTCAACACAGGTAGACAATGCTGTGTCTTCGTCACATCGGTCACGTACTAGACAAGTGATCAACGAAGGTCGACAGATCACGTGGGTAAACAGAGGCTCAACGATGGTAGACAAGGGTAGGCTCAGGTAGACCACGATCAACACAGGGTCAACGAGGGTAGACACAACTGTGTCTACCAAGGGGTTGAACGCAGTGAATTTGGACATGATGATGGGCGGAGCAAGGGTGAAGTTAAAACTGATTCAAAGCGATACAACTCGTATTGATTTATAATGATGCGTTACAATCGAGGCGCCCGCATATTCTAAGCTCCCGAATCTATGCCGCAATACTTTTTGAGGAATGTGTATTATAATGGTTTGTGCCGGAAACTTCATGAGCGTGTCCTATCTGCCGTCAAGGTAGTCAAATGGTTTCAACCCCCAGTTTCCCTCAAACATGAGCTCGTAGCATTCCAGAAAGACATCCAAGCGTCGCAAGAAGGATTGCATGGCATGTCGAGGACGGTGAAAGGACGAGGATGTCTGCACGTGAGTCTACGTGAGTTCGTAGAGCGGTATCCAGATGAGTTCAAAAAACTTCACCCGACATGGGTGAAGTACACCAGCATTGCATTTTAATATACGTACTCACCGCTTGCTACTCAACACTAACGTGCGCGGCGCACGTTGGTGTAGATGGCGAGCTCATGTGACCAACCGGCAACTAGTTACTACGGTAGCTCGGCACATGCCGGGTTTATTCTAGTTGACACAGTGCTTTTGGTCTATCCTGGGATGGCGCCTAACTTGAAGCCATACAACCTGTATTGATTGATTAAAATGATGCGTTACAATCGAGGCGCCCGCATATTCTGAGATCCCGAATCTATGCCGCTATACTTTTTTAGGAATGTATATTATGCTGGTTTGTGCCGGAAACTTCATGAGCATGTCCTATCTGCCGTCAAGGTAGTCAAATGGTTTCAACCCTGTTTCCCCTCAAACATGAGCTTGTAGCATTTGGAGTTGACGGACTTTGAGAGGTCGAGCGCGGGCGCCCTGAGCAACGGAATGCAATGGCCAAGCAATGGCCACTAATTTTGGGTGTGATTAGACAACCGTGCCAAGAGCACCGAATCGCCGATGCACGTTCGTTGCCAGTCATCTCTCCCGCAGACCATGTCCACCAACTCTACCAATCTTGCAGCATCCAACCCGCCTCAAACGCGAGGCAAGAAATTGTGGCAATCCTCCCCGAAGGGAAACAATACGGCCTCAAGCTCCGTATCGCAATCTTCTACCAGTACAAGGTCGGAATGGCTTGAGCCTTTACTGGTGGCTGCAAAAGCGGGTGTCGCTGTGGGCGAATCGTGTCCAATCCCCTACGTGAAAGGTGCCTTTAGTATTGTTGTGATTCTCTTGGAAATTGTTCAAGTTCAGTAAATAATGTTCCTTGTTAACTATCTTTCTAATGGTGGCCATTGTAGACGATGAAGAAAAATCGGGATGATCTACGGGACCTCTGTGATAACACTGTAAAACTCATGGGGATCATCCAGCATCAAATATCAGCTCATCAGGGAACGAAAGCAGACAAGTTGATGGAACTCTGCAAGGAATTTGAGAAGTAAGAAACCACTTCGGGCTACTACTATCCAGACCTCTCTAGGTTCCTTATTGCCCGTGCAAATTGGACCTAATGAGGTCCAGAATCATGGTATGATACCATGTTCATGGGTGCATCCATGGGGTATGGAAGCATCCATGGATGTATATCATGGATGTGTCCAGGGCACTGTGACGTGACCTACATGGATGCATCCATGCAATATTTGGGCACAGCTCGATTTTGCGATTTTTTGGGCCCTATCGAGCCCATTTTGCTGCTCCTGATAGCTATACTTATAGTCTATCTGTAGGGCAGCCTTTATAGAGTATATGGCCAGTATATTGGCTTTTGGGCACAGCTCGATTTTGCGATTTTTGGGCCCCTATTGAGCCCATTTTGCTGCTCCTGATGGCTATACTTATAGTCTATCTGTAGGGCAGCCTTTGCAGTATATATGACCAATATATTGACTTCCATACTATGCTCGGGCACAGCTCGATTTTGCGATTTTTAGGGCCCTATTGGGCCCATTTTGCTGCTCTTGCCAGCTATACCTGTAGTCTAGCCTCTGCAGGGTGTATATTACAGGGTATATGAGCAGCATATTGGCTTGTATACTATTCTCTGGCATAGCTTGATTTTGTGATTTTAGACCCCTTTCAGGCTGTCTGCTGCTTTGACCAGCTATATATACCTACGTACTAGATGATATATGGCCAGCATGCTGGCTAGCAGCAGTTGCTCTAATAGCAGCTATTTTTGTGATTACTAGGCTTCTATACAAAACAAAACAATTTATGGTGCTTGGACAGCCTTCGCAGGGTGTATGGCCAATATGCTGGCTAGTGAAAACTGCTCCACAAAAGAGACTAAACGAGAGGACCAA